TAGAGGAAGAACAAAAATTAAAAAAATATATAAATCATGATCCAACAGGGAAAAAACATTCTTTCTTGATCCCCCCAAAAAACTCCATTAGTCAACACTCTACAGTGCTATTTCCCATTATTATTAAAGTAGAACTATGGCCTATTAACAATAAAATAGGTACAGCAGCACTTAATTATAAGTGGATCTGCAATTACAATTTCCTCTTCATCCCCCTGCAATGTACCACAAATACTAGTTCATTGTGTGAAGTCCATCCTAGTGCAGCTTAATGTGATGGGGTGGCAACAATGCTGCACTGCGCCTGAATTCAGAGCAGAGTTGTCACTGTCATGTCAAATCTAATTCTTGCACTAGTGGGATGAAAACATGTTGAGGGGGGTGTGGCTATCAGCACTGTCACTTTAGCTAGTTATACTTGTATATTTTTGAGGACATATTATCTACTCTCAGAATTTGTGATATGACTGGTGCAGCGACCTGCCTAGCATTTTTCAAGTGTCTTAATGTTATATTGAATAAAGATTTGTGTTATATATATATATATAAATGTTTATTATATTAGCGTTACATTGATAGCAGAAAAGAGATGTCAATTTAGGACCCATTCATACAAGCTTTTTAGATGTCTATGTATAATATATAGACTCTTATCTGCGGTCTATTTTACTAATGGACCTCTTACAATAGTATTTATGGCAGTGGGGTCCGGAATCTGTATATGTTCTGCATTTTCACCGCTCTTAGGTCTCGTTCACACCTAGGCGTATTGCATATGCGCGTCTGTCGCGATTCGCGGTAAAAAAGTCACACGACCGTCGCGCGTTTCCGAAGGCTACTTGGCTGTTACAGCAAAGAGCCCTTTCTGTGTGCAAAGGTTAATCATCTTTTCATTGTCTTTCTCCTTACTTAGTCATTGTTGACCCAGCAAAAAAATTATTTCCTTAAGTTGGCCATACACTTTTCTATTGTTTTTTTCATTCAACCTGCAGGCTGAATGAAAAAATAGAAGATTCCTCCATTACAAGTGTTGATCAGGAAATCTCCTGCTGTCTCCAGTGTATTGTGAAAGCAGCTGCCAGCTGCTGTTAGAATACCCAAAAATAGCCAGCAGCTCATTGGCTGTGGACTCTGTTCGTTCAAAGATTTTCCGACCATCTCTTTCGATCAGCTGAACGAGGGACACCGGCTGAAAGACATCACCCACTGTACGCATTTAGGCCGGTTCATCAAGAACCCAGTCAAAATTCACAGTGTATGGCCACCATTATTCACAACCTGTATACACTGTGATATAGGCGAGCCTGTGTATGAAATATATTTTTCAACCAGATCATGGTCCAGTGAGTGTTACCATTGTATATCTAGCCTATGCCAACCATATACATGCAAATCTAATGAGTGAGGGTGTCCCAGAAATGTACTTAGGATACAAAAGTCCTGACCCATAGGTTACATATAGGGTTATTCACAAAGCTGCCAAAGGCAGCCTAGTGAATAACCGAGCCGAAGTAAACAGAGCCAAACATCGGCTCTATACGGCTGCCTTTGGTCAGCTGAACATGCTCAGCTGAGCCGAAGTGCAGAGGGACTCAAGTGCAGAGCCGATCCAACATCTGGATCAGCTGAGCCGAAGTTCCGGCAGCTCACCATTCGCTCCTATTCTCCGAACAGCAGTGACCTCAATGGTACCGAGCAGAAAAGCAAATAAGTGGGGGGGAAAGGTTGGAAAAAGATTTTTAAAATGTAAACAAATAGTAAAATTAAAAAATAAAGATCTTTTAAAAAAGAAAAAAAAAAACAATTGGGCAGAGCTGGCAGTAATAGCTAGCTCCGCTCAACTGTTTCCCATTTGCCGGCACTTGCTAGTCTTCTAGCAGGTCCCGGCGAATAACAACTGGGAGGAGCCGGCCGTGATGTCACGGCAGGCTCCGCCCAGTTATGGTTTAATGACAGATCAGTGTCCCCAGGTCATTTGGGGACGCTGATCTGTCATTACAACAGGGTGGAGAGAGTCGTGAGATCACGGCACGCTCAGCCCAGCTGTCATTTGAGGCTTCGGCAGGCCTTCGCCCCGCTTCGGCTGTCACTTGGCTCAGTGGAGCCGAAGCACATGCCTTTGGCTCAACCGCCTTTGACTGCTGTACCGGCGGCTGAAGAGAGCCAAACCTAAGCTACGGCTGAAGAAAAATCATGCAGAAGAGGCAAACTCGATAATGTTTTAATATAAAATGCATAGTATACAACTTAGTTCTAAACCTAACTGGCGGTATTGTATGAGATACAAAGAGATTATAGAATGATGAATATGTAACACAAAAGCTATTAGCCAGTTACTGCACTCTAATACCCAATAGGCATTGCTAAATGATTTCTAAACCCAAGAACAAATATTTGTTATTGCAGCTTAGCAGTCCTTAGATATGATGGCTGCGTTTTCTTTATTTCAGGCCAATAACATTTTCAAGAAGTACAGAAAATATTTATTGATGTTGCGAGAAATGCATCCGTATCATGTCCTGTGAGAAGTACTGAAAGCACAAATAATCTTTTCTAGTAATTCCCTGCCCTCGTGTAATAGAGATTAAGAGATGACAACCTCTTTGTGGTCTAATCAGCACAGCAGTCTAGGTGACAACCCTGGCTCCCTCCATAGATATGGGGAGGAGTGAACGTAGCCATCCAGGGACAGGAAGTGTGTCATTCACAGATTTACCAGGTGGACACCTAAGGAATGGGAAGTTGCAGTATATTACCATTTCTTTTTGGGCTTAGATATCATTTAACAGGTAACATACATTTCCAATAGGAAAGTCATAGGAATGTTCTGCACTGGTTACCTGGATGCTGACATTAATCCAGCTCTTGTTTTCTTAGGAAACACATTACACAAATGGCATAACTAGGTGATTTCCTAATTCTGCTCTGGTGAACCCCAACAGCCCCTGAACCCCTATACACACAGTAAACACACACTGCAATGTTCCTCCATGCAGAAGCATCAGAAATCTACTGAGAGGCACAAGCATTGTGTGGTAGGGCGGCATAGCTAAGAGATGACTGGGACAGTATTTTTTCCTAGTCTGTTGTAAAAGGACCAAGCCCCGTACTGTGCTCTTCCATTTGGCCAGTTTAGAGGTAAATGCGAAGAATTCATTTTTGTCCAAAGAATATTTGCCAGCCTTCATTCAAACCTGAAAATGAAAAAAAAACAAAAACAAAAAACTTATTTTAGAAACCATGATCCTTGAAAATGAATAGAGAACAGAATCATAGACAGTAGGTATGGTATGTTCCTGCCAGCCAATTACCATAAGAGCCTGATGGGGGGAAAGGAGGCCTGTAGGTTGAACACCCTAAATACAATGGAATAAACTACAGCGGACATTTATAGATGAGACCGGCATTTCTCAGCCATTTTTCAGTCACAACACCCTTTACAGTATGCATAACCTCAAGGCACCCCAGTAACAAAACAAAAAGACACATGTGGGTTTCCCGAAATCTATACCAGACCCTTATCCCAGATAGGCTCCAGTGTGGATTTTAAAGGAGAACTATGGGGTTAGGGCTTTTCCCCATAGTTCTCCGAAGGGTAACGGGAGGACACAAACTAACGTCCTCCCATTACCCAAAGCTCAGTATCTAGCAAGCTACAGCTCGCGGTATACTGAGACCCCGCAGCTGAAACGGAGCCTGACAATTATGCCGCGATCCGCCCAGCTGCGTGAGTGGCAGCTGGCTGTGCCTATCTAGAGGCAGAGCCAGCTGTACCCGCCCCCAGTCAGCGCTGGAGGATCGGACAGGGGAGGGGAGAATCCAGTCACTCCCCTGTCACGGCTCTCTGCAGTGACAGGATCGAGAAGTGAGCGAACGCCGGTATGTGTTCGCTCACTTCCCGATCTACTGAGCCGACCTGTGACAGTCTCATTGTCACAGGTCGGCTCAGATTATGAGGCTGAGTGAAAAGCATTCACCTCATAATTCTCCTTTAAGGGTGGACCACAAAAAAGTAGGGTTCCCACTTCACATCAGAGCCTCCCTTTCCATCAGAATTCCCCCTTTCCCCTCAGAGTTCCCTTATACATCAGGAACTATCCTTCATATCAGAGGCCCCCTTTACATCAGAGTCCTACCATCACATCAGGAGCCACAGCTTCTGAAGCATGACAAAGGGTGGGAGGTAGAACAGGCCTAGTTGGAGGTAAACTGAATAAGCGACATTCATTTCCATGGAGCTGGCAGGTAGCCCACCAGCACCATGGAAGGGCAGTAAAACTGCTTAAGGTGGCAGCTATTTGCAGAGCAGCAGTGTATGACTGGAACATAAGATGTGCACTCCAACCTACATCCTTATTTCTGAAGTTATTATGAAAGCAGATTTTATGTCATTCAAATAGCACTATTTAAAATAATAACCGCTTCAGTACCGGCATGTTACACCCCCTTTCATTACCAGGCCATTTTTCAAGTTTTCAGGGCTGTGAACATTTGAAAGAATTGCTCTGTCACACAACACTGCAACCAAATGAATTTGAGATAATTTTGAGACATATAGAGGTTTCTTTTGGTTGTATTTTTTAACCACAATTTTTGCTATATAAAAGGAAAAAAGAAAAAGAATAACTTTCCCTTACTTTCTGTTAGAAAAACATATCAAATAAAAATGTCAGGACAGTACGAACACCCCCCAAAATAACCCCTTTTTGGAAAGCAGACGGTGAAGGGGTTAAAGTGACATTAAAGGATAAATTCTCCCCCCCCCCCATGTTGGTGTAGGGACTTACCTTAAATGCCCTTAAATGCTGCCTCTTGATCCGATCATCTTCTTCTTTCCTGTAGTTTTCAGGAGTCCCTCCAGCGCTGGTGCTGGTCTCAGATCCAGCACTGACTCCTCCCTCTTAACTAGCACTTCCTGTCCCACAGAGTCTGTGCGGGTGCATGTTGCCTGCATTGACTTACCTTGCGTCTGTCCTCGTCTCCCGGCTGAAGATCTGAACTGCGCATGCGCCCGCCCCAAGATCCTTTGCAGCTGCCCGAGAATCTTCAGATGTTCGGACGGGAGCGCGCGGCGGAGATGCAGGTAAGTTTTAACCCTTTTAAAAAGTTTTTGTTTTGTTTTATATTTTTGCATATATCTACTTCTAGCTAAAGCTGACTAGCAAGGAATGGGAACTGGGCATGTTATGGGCATGCGCTATACTTTCCTTGTCCTACCTCTCCTCCACCAAAACCTGGGTGAGAAGGATGTTTTCCAGTACTCCTGGATGAGCAATAAGATAGATATTTAAGAATAACACAAAAAAAAACAAAAAGGCAATACTAACCTTTGAGGTCATTACTGTTTTTAACGACCACTTCCAACATCTGCAATATAAATACAGAACACATCGCTATAAATAACAATCTGAAACAGTGGAGTAGAAAATACTATGGCAGAGGACTATAACCTCAATCACACCTCTGCAATAAGGTGCCAACCACAACTAAAATCGCACTGAAAGAAGTGTGTGCACCCTTTTTTTTAATCAACTCTCACCACACCACATGGTAATAGGTTACCATGCGTTGTGGTGCGATGCAACGCACATGCATGGCTAGGTGCGCTGGGATGCCAAAATGTTTTAAAGATATTTCAAATGCTGATGAAATCACTTGCAATGGATGCTGCTCCTTGATGTTCAAAAGTTCTAGTTTCCTGCAGAATCAGCTGGTCCCCTGAGCACTTGTCCTGACTTCCTGTTTTAGGGTGGCTCCTTTCCCTTGCAGGGTCCTATGGAGCCACCCTTGTGTGTGGTGGTAAGCTGTGTGTGTCTGCACAGACACAGCAAGGCAAGCGCCTTCTCCAAGCTAGTCGAACAGTTGCTGGAGACTGCTGTTCCTTGTGATCTTGTACTGGACAGGAAATTCAGTGAAGTCGCGCTTCCCTGAAGCCAATTCTTGGCTGGGGAATGTATAATTGTTTGATCTGGATTTCAAATTGAAAAAACGTTTGAGCATTGAATACTACTTTAAGAACAAGTAACGGTAAGCAAATTAGCTTATCTATTGACACAATTATCCATCGCAACCAGTAAGGTTATCTGTGATTGGATGCCTTTGCTTATTGCACACCAATGGGTGGGTTGGACCTCCCCCCCACTATAAAAAAACAAAATGAAATGCTATATGTTACTTTGCTGGTCATATAGTTACAATGCTTTGTGACAAGCACAGCTTTCAGCACTTAAAGTATTTTTTTCATATGTCTACTACTAGCAAGCAGTAGATATAGGCAAACACAGTAAAAAAATAAATTAAAAAAAAAAAAGGTAATTATTTGTGTCTCCACCGCTACCTCCAGGCTGAAGATCTGAAGCTTCTTGAGGATGTGAGCGGGTACATGCGCAGTAGAGATCATCATTGGGGAGAGGAGGAGAGACACAGTGGAGGTAAATGGCGTGCACATCGGACAGACACTGTGGGACTGGAGGAGCCAGCGCTGGATCAGAAACCGGCACCAGCACTGGAGGGACTTCTCAATACAAGTGGAAGGAAGAAGATCGGATCAAGAGGCATCATTTAAGAAAGGTCCTTAAAGCAGCATGGGGGGGGGATTGTGACTTTAATGTCACTTTAAACACAAGGCGAAACAAGATGCAAAACAAACTGCACGTGGTAACTGGGCGTTTATAGAAAAATGTCTGCAGGGTTTTGTCTATTTTATTTTATATTTTATTTTCTGCTGCTCTATATTTATGCAGCTTTTCTTTGCTTATAATTCCCCGGAATGTTCCGTATATTTTCTGGACACATAAGTGCATATTGGACACGCTTTGTTTGCGAGCCACTAAAGATTATGGATTAACAAAGAGAAAAAATGCAGCAATTCGCTTTGATGAATCTGACAGTTATCACTGTGTAATTGCACAGGTGGAATTTATCATAACTAGAATAACCTGCAGCCATGTGTTTTATTTGGAGGAAAATAAAGTGGACATGAGGAAAAAAAATAATGAAAGGTGTCTGTGTTTCCCTGTCCTCTCTCCAGACGTGTGCGAAGTGGAACTGATCAGCTGGAGTTTGCGAAAGACTGAAAGATTTCTCCCATACAGAAAAGTAAAGAGAATGTTCGCCCTCTTGTGGTCAGAGAAGTAACTACAGCCCGCTCAGCAAAATCTATATATTTACACTGAAATCTCAACTTTCTTTCCCCGTTATTTTCTAGCAGCAAAACCGTGTACTGTTACCGAATGGGAAGAGTTGGGGATCTAACAAACAATAAGGAAAGGTCATAGCGGACAGTATATACAGGAGAGGGGTTAGGAGGGTATGACAGTGGGCAGCCTGCCAGCCCACTAATGTAAATAAGGTATTAGAAACCAACTGAAACCTGACTTTAGAGCAGGGATGGGTAACGCCAGCCCTCTAGCTGTGGTTTAACTACAAATCCCAACATGCTTCCGTCTCTGGGAGTCATGCCTGTAACTGTCTTGCAATGCCTCATGGGACTTGTAGTACCACAAAAGCTGGAGGGCTGGAGTTACCCACCACTGCTTTAAAATGTTTGTTGTGATCTCTGAGGAATAATTACTCCACAGTACATGTAGATAGAGAAGTATGGGGTGGCTCTTAAAGCCCTTTGCTGCTTGTTGTCCACAGTCTGGGCTCAGGTCCACTTTAAATTCACCAAGTGATCTTCAGTTTACTCTTTCCTCGATCGATCTACCTATATTGATTTAGATCTGGGCCTGGAATTGCCATACTTCCTAGGTAAGCACACACAAATGAAAGAATAGTTGTGATTCAGTATTTGAGCTGAGGACAGCTCAATATTACATGAAGAGCATTGTATGGTATTTACCTTATACAGTGTATCAGTCATATGGTTCAATGCTTTGATGGATGAGTGAACCTGTTTCAGAGTCTCAAGCTCCTGCTGTTTGTGGAAATAAATGAGAGATTGAAACTGTTTTAAGCAGAATTCTACAACAAAAAGCAACCATCGGCCGACATTAAGACAAACTGGTATGTGATCCATTTTTTAATAGCAATAACAATATTAATAACGGGTGCAATGTTAGTGGTTACTACCGGTAATAGGGATGCACCGATACCGGTACTTCCAGTAGCACAGAGCCAGCTTCCCAGGCAATTAGGAAGCCGGGCATCGTGTCATTACCCGCTGCACGGCTTCTTGATTGCCCGGGAACCTGGCTCTGTGCTGTTTGGCTGGCTTGATGCTGATTGGCCAGAAAGCCGGCATCCCAATCAACACGGAGCCGGCTTTCCGGCCAATCAGGAAGCCGGGAGGTGAGTCATTACCCCCTGCCCGGCTTCCTGATTGGACAGGAAGCCGGCAACATGCTGTTTGGCCAGCTCCATGCTGCATGGCAGGGAAGCCGCCTTCCCAGCCAACCAGCATCGAATCGACTGTTTGGCCAGGATGCCGATTGGCCAGGATGCCGGCATTCCAGCCAATCAGCATGGAGCCAGGCTTCCTGGCCAATGAGGAAACCGGAAGGTGGGCAATTACCTGCTGCCTGGCTTCCTGATTGGCTAGGAAGCCGGCAACATGCTGTTTGGCCGCCTCCATGCTGCATGGCTGGGAAGCCGCCTTCCCAGCCAACCAGCATTGAGTCGGCTGCTCGGCCGCCTCCATGCAGATTGGCCGGGATGCCGGCATCCCAGCCAATCAGCATGGAGCTGGCTCCTGGGCCAATCAGGAAGCTGGGCAATCGTGGAGCCGGGCCGCAAGTCATTACCCACGGCCCGGCTTCCCGATTTGCCGGGAAGCCTGCTCCATGTTCCCTCGTGGTATCGGAGCATTTGAGCGAGTATGAGTGCTCGCCTAAATACTCGGTATCGGCATGGATACTAGTATCCGTATCGGTGCGTCCCTAGTTACTAATCAAATATATTTTAGAGACCTGGGCTATGTAACAAGCTGCACTGCATAAAACTACCTGATCCATATTCCCTTCACTTATTTGCCTGTGTAATGTTGCAGTTATTTTGTACCAAAGTGACCCTTGGCTCTGGCTTATCACAGTATTACTTTGCTAAGGGACAGGACAGAAAAGGTATTTGGTCTTATCTTTGAACTGAGCAAATATGGTTTGATGAGGATCTTAAGAAGAACTCCCGGCACATAAAAAAAACCTTCCCTTGTGATTTTCTGATTAACCCCCCTGGCGGTATGATTATCTCAGTATTTTTTCTTTTGAATTTCTCGCCGGTTCTGCCCCCCTGCAATGCCGGCGCTCGCAGGGAAGGAACACGGAAGACGCCCGAGTGTACCTTCATGGCGGTAATCCAGAGTGTGGCTCGGGGGTAAATTTTGCTTACCAAAAGCGGTAACCCCGAGCCACACTCTGGATTACCGCCATGAAGGTTAAAGGACGCCGGATAGAAGGCTGTCCACACAGTGCCACCGCTGAATGAATTTCGCAGTGTATAGCTGGCTTAAAGTAGAACTCCAGGCAAAAGGGTTTTTAACCCTTGCAGTGGGGCTACCCTTGCAATGAACGGGTTAAATGCTTTTGTTTCTTGCCTAGGTGCTAAAATAAAGTTATACTCATCCGACCCGCAGAGCTGGATGGCTGCTCCTCCGATCCCTGAAAGCCTCTCTCCTCCTCCGCTACAGAGAAAGTATGTCCTTCGGCGTCCTCATGTCCTACGCACATTGTGTAGAATGTAATGACTTAAGGATCCTTAGACTGCTGCAGTGGGGGGGGGGGGGCCACTTTTGCTTGGAGTTTTGCTTTAAGTGACCCTATAATGTATTGTTCAGCAAGTTATCAAACCAATGGTCATGTAAAAAATTAAAAACACACATATACAGGTCCCAGTGTGCACGACAGACCTCCCTGTGTATGGCTATCCAAAATCTCTCACTTACCCTTACCTAATGTTCCCCCACAGGCAACATCCCATTGTGAACTGCTGCAGTCCTTTCCAGGCCAGAACACGGCATCATAGAGCACACTGACATAGGAAATCTTATCTACCTGGAGCTGTGCGCTCTCTCCGGTCGGTTCCTTCTGTCCCGCATTGCTTGATGGAGTTTGCAACAAATCAGATTTTCTACAAGGAATTGTAAATAGAAATATTTTGGGTAATAGATTATCAGAAGCGGTTTCTAATTGTCATGGAATGGACTTTAAAGTTTATTTCCAAATTGGGATAAAACCTACTTTATATTTATTACAAGTTCCCATCCGCATAGTAGAAATAAGTAAAAATTGCTGCTTTTCTGAAAACTACAAAACGGAGGTTTTCCCCTTTCTATGTAACGTGTAGGAGGGGGCTGGGGAGTTACCGTTTACCATAATGAACCCTGTGTGTGCTGTGCTGGCAGATCCCAAGATCGGTTGTAATAGAGATGTGTGAAGATACTTTCATGCGTTCAGGGTTGTGCGTCTGGGTCTGGACACGTGAATGTTTTTTATGCAAGTCTGGCATATACCTGTGTACAGCCAATAGACGTTATAATCCACATTTTAGGCCCGAGGATTACTTCCGCGAGTGGCCATTTTATTGATGTACACACATCTCGTCACAAAGCAATGTTTTAGGGCCACACAGGGTGCCTTCATCAGTAGCCACAAAACATTGCTTGACCATGGTCATACCTGATGAAGGGACCCTGAGTGGCCCCAAAGCGTTGCTTGACCATGGTCATACCTGATGAAGGGACCCTGAGTGGCCCCAAAGCGTTGCTTGACCATGGTCATACCTGATGAAGGGACCCTGAGTGGCCCCAAAGCGTTGCTTTGGGACGAGATGTGTGTACATCAATAAAATGAGCACTCGTTGAAGATTTTACTTCGGTGTGCTGGTGATATATTTTACTACTTGGATTTGAATTGGCGCCATCCACTATCACTGCAGCACCCACCTTAAAAGGGACATAGCAGTAAGGAGTGCGGTGGGGACCTCTTTGGAACTTGATTACAGTCTATTAGACCCCTAATGTCACCGCTGCAGCCCACTGAAGCTGATCAATGACAGCTGAGCAACCAGAAGAGCCGAAATCATTGCGGGTTCATTTAGCAGGGAGGGGATCGGTGATGCCGGTGCCCCTCTTGTGGCCTTGGGGTGTGGGACAGAGGGATGCAAATGTCAGGCAGCTTCACATCCATCGGAATCACTTCTAGTGTAAAGCCAACAGGCAGCTGTACACATGTAAACTGACTCCCAGCTGTAATAGCAGCCAGGACTCGGAGCCGTTGGACTTGTAGTTCCACAAAGGTTGACGTGCCTAAGTTGCCTACTCCTTGACTAGAACAGGTAACAACATCCTGTGAACCATCAAACGTTAGTTATTCTCCAAACAGGAACATGAATTAATTATAGTAATCCCTATGGGGAGGCTGCAGGAACTCACAGTCTGTGCGCTGTACATAGAGATCTATTTCTCTCTGTCCATGAACCTTTTTAGCCACATCACACTTGATGACCTCATCACAAAGCGCACAGCAGCCATAGTTTAGCAGGGCAAAACGAACACACTGCATCACAGGTTAGTAGATACGGGCCAGTGACCAGGAAGTTTACCTATAGGACAGGTGTAGGCAACCTGGACACTCCAGCTGTGATGAAACTACAAATTCCATCCTGCTTCTGCCTCTGGGAGTCAAGCCTGTGACTGGCAGAGACTTGCAATGCCTCATGGGACTTGTAGTTCCATGGAGTGCCAAGGTTGCCTACCCCCTCATATAAAATCACACAATGACCTGACATGTACAGAGATATCACATACACTATATCAGAGCCCAGGCAATAACTCTATAGCATCACACTGTATATACAGATCACACAATGACCTGACATGTACACAGATATCACATATATCAGAGCCCAGGAAGTAACTCTATAGACTCACAGTCTATGACGAGCCCTCAGCGTCATACACCACTGTGTATAATATACGTATAATGATGAATACTCATCTCTCACCTCCGCAGGGCACTCATCTTCTCCTCTCTCTAGTCTGAATTTCCCTCCACAGGACTGTCACGGAGGGAAGAGGCGGGGCCGAACGGCCTGCTGGGAGTTGAAGTTCTGTACAACCTAGACATGTTATCTGCCTGATAGGAGACGTCCTGGAAATAAACTACAAGTGCCAACTGCCCCTGCGGCTCGCTACTGAGTATAGGGGAAGTCAAACAGTTGTGTATTGCAGTTTAAAGCAGAAGTAGGCAACCTGGCCATTCCAGCTGTGCTGAAGATACAAATGTTATCATCCTTCTGCCTATAGGAGCCATGCCTGGTTTCCTGTCCATGGTTTACAGCAGCTCCAGCTGTGATGAAACTACAATTTCCATCATGTGTCTGCCTCCAAGGCTCATGACTGTGGCTGTCAGAGTCTTGCAATGGATCATGGGACTTGTAGTTCCACAACAGCTGGAGTGCTAAGGTTTCCTTGCCATGGTTTACATCAGGGGTAGGCACCCATGGCACTCCAGCTGTGCTGAAACGACATCTTCCGTCATACCTCTGCTTCCAGGAGTCATGACTGTGATTGTCAGAGTCTTGCAATGCCTCATAGGACTTGTAGTTCCACAACAGCTGGAGTGCCAAGGTTTCCTGCCCATGGTTTACAGCAGGGGTAGGCAACCTTAACACTCCAAATCCCATCATGCCCATGCCTGTGGGAGTAGGGACAGTCCGGGTTTTGAATGCTGTGCCCGGGTTTCATGGCAGCAGAAACCCAGACACAAGATGTCAGGCAGACAGGGGCAACCAAAATTAAGATGGGGCTAGTGGACCCCCACTGAAAATAGTCTCAACTGTGATATTTACATATGAATAAGTCGTGACTCAATCTAAAAAAAAATTTCAGCGTGTTGCTAGAGTGTTCGGGTTTCGCTTGAAGGAAAGGTGGCAACCCTATGTGGGAGTCATGCCTGTGGTTGTCAGAGTCCTGCAATGCCTCATGGGACTTGTAGTTCCACAAAAGCTGAAGAGCCCGGGTTGCCTACCCCTGGTCTACACTTATATGCTCATGCGCTTTGTTATTTTATTATTATTTACCTTTTCTTCTATCATGCGTGCATGGCAGAGTGTTTACACAGAGACGTCATTGAGTGTTCATTGTTGAATTGTGATGATCATGCGTTTAGATGGGCATGCATTCACACTACTTATCACCTGGATTCGTTGGCTTTGCTATGCCTCTGACTCATTCAGATGTCCGAGACTAACCTGATCGCAGGGTGGAATACTATGATTTATTTATGAAGTGTATTTTCTAGAGGTGCACCGAAATGAAAATGTCAAAACCGAAACGAAACCGAAATAAAAAAAATGTCAGGCCGAAACCAAAAATTTTTTAATTTGAACTTTTTCACATTTTTTAAATATTTAATTTTTTTATAAACTTTTTCATTTTTTTATATGTATTTTTATGAATAGAGCTGGACGACGGAGAGTGTGGGGAGGTACACTCGCCGTCACAATACCACTGAATAAACGAATGCTGTCAGGGTGGAGAGAAAAAAAGAAGGACTGATCAATGGACCGTGAGAATGGGGGAACCAAGTGTGTGAAAAACAGTGTGTGTAAGCACAATGGTGAGGGAACAGATGGAAGCTTGCAAAATAATCTGGTTAAGTGGGTATTTATGTATTGTTTTTTCCTAATTAGCAAACGTCGGACACCCCGGTCCGTATTTCTAAGAAGCCGCACACCAAGCACTCTAACCCTTACTCCCACACCCTCACCTCAGTGTTAGCGCTGCACCAGGGGACATTTCTCCCAATTTTTCAATCACCACGCAGGTGCCAGCAGGTGGAACCTATAAGGCCCAGTTCACACCTGCATGTCACGGGAACGCTCGTCCCGTTTGCACGCATTCGTGCACATACACATTTGCGCACATGTCTGTGGAGCATTTTTTGCATTTGGCGTTTCTTGCTTGCGCGTTTTCACACGTGCAAACGTGAAGCAAAATTGCATGTTTTGCTGGCTGCGTTTGGGGTACCATTAGAGTCTATGGTGGGCTCTGCAGGGCCACTCTCAGGTGGGCTGTTTGGGATATCAGGTGGGCGTAACTAGAAATCACAGGGCCCCATACACAATTTTGCTATGGGGCCCTGTGATTTCTAGTTACACCCCTGGTAGAGGTACCGGTCACCCCCTCTGCACCCCCCGATGTGCGCTGCCGCACCTGCTACCACACCTGCTACCACCTCCCACCCCCCCTATAACATGCGCAGCCACCAGTACCCACCCCTCCGCCCAGGTGGCGAAAAGTGTAGAGAACACCTGTATAACTGGTTTTACTGCCTAGATTGGGATACAGTCAGATAATGCAACCAGTTGCTAGGGATGAGCACTCAACTTCTTTCATTCCTATCTATAATGGAAGGAAATCCAGAGGTTATTGTCATAGGAAGTCTCCTAAAGAGGGAACGTTATACCTTTCTCATTGTGCATTGTAAAAACTGTTTAACACGTTTCAGCTGATTATACGAGTCACATGCTGCTTTCTGTGTGTTACTATTTAGAGAGTTCTATTCCTCCCTTTCTGGATCATTGTCAAATGTTTTCTATCCTAATTAAACTAATCCATTGGAGATTAAGTATGGAAGACAGTCTGTCATCTTCTGCAAAAGATAATCTTTTTAGGCCTAAATATGCTTGAGCGATTGAAGACATGTGGTAGCTTAAGCTGGAACTGGGCTGAGACAGCAGTTCTCGCTGTGGATTTGGACCAAACGGACACTTTTGGGTGGAATTAAGCTTTGCTTGCAGTTGGCAGCTTCCGTCTGCTGAGAAAAATAACATTTTGGATTTTTGACGTCTTCCGTATACAAAAGAAAATGCTCTTAACTGAAACTCATTACAATACTTGCTTTGTTTTCAATGAAAGCATAAGATCATTATAGAGAAATAATTCAGCTTATGGTCATGTTGCAGATTTGGGTTTTATTGCCTTTGTATATTCTAAGTCTATAATAACTGAAAGTAGGACATGCTCAACTGGTATTGGCGGTGGTAAGCCAACCATACATGAAGCTGAAGCTCCTTTACTGTCCA